GGGGGGGCGGCGGGGGGGAGGGCAGAGCGCGGCCCCGGGGCAGGCCTGGCCCCGGCGGCTGGTTGGGGGACCGGCCTGGAGCTTTGGCTTTGAGGTTTAATTCGTTTTATTCCCCCTGCATTTGAAATCGCAGCACAATTGCTGTGTGTTACTGTGCATTTCGCTCTTGCTCCCGCCGCGTCGGCCCTTCCTAGAGGTAGGCTGCAGGTGTAGGCAGGGGAGGCCGGGTCGGTGAGCGCAGCTCCCTGGCAGCCCCGCCGTGCATTGCCAGTCATAAACGTGCGGAGTTCAGCTGTGCAGCTAGCGCGCTTGCTTGCTTTGGTCTTCCTGGGGGAAGCTTCTGTCAAACATCACTAATGTAATGGTTTCCAGCCCACGTGTAACCATAGCCAAGCTAATTTTCTGTCTCTTCAGCCAGAATTGCTTCTGTGGCTTTTCTTATTTTATTTTAGTTGAAACAGCTCATCTACTCTCCTTCTCATGCCCGTGTTTACTCTTCCTGGTGTCTTTATGGACAAATAATCATAGCTCTTTCAGTCTTTGTTTTGCTAAGTTATATTTTCCTCTTCCAGAAAATTTACTTCCATTTAATTCTTCCAGAAAATTTACTTCCATTTACTTCTTCCAGAAAATGTACTTCCATTTACTTCTTCCAGAAAATTCTGGGAGCTCATCTGTCCCCATGTTACTTCTCTCTTAAACCTGGGCTGCCAGAATTGCAGCCAGCTCCTGAGGTGTTAGCTTCGTGCCCTGGTGTACAGGGGAGGGTGGGTGATGCCTGGCACCTCTGCTCCCTGAAAGCCCATTGCTCTCAGACATCAGAGTGGGTGGGAAAGGGACTGAAAAGAACGTATTTTGTCTATACAAAAGGTATATACCCTCGTTAGAGACATCCAATCTGGGAATGCATGCATATGTAACACATGCTGCTCTGTTGTTCCCCACTGTTACAGGCAGTTGGGAAGATTAAAGAAAAGGTACCACGTGGTCTCCTCAAAATATTTTCCTGTGTGTGGGTGCAGGGCCTCAGCAGTGGCTTGGCCTCCCTCCAGCCCTGGCCCTCATGCCTGCTTGCAGCCCTGTTGAACCAGGACTCCTGAGGCTGCCAGCATTTTGTCACTTGCCTACCAAATGCGACCAGAAGAGACACTGTTCCTGAAAGAAATAGTCATGGTATAATTGAGCATGGGGAAGGGTCTTTCACTGTTTCTCACCTGGCACTGTTCCTTATGACCCACGTACTGATTTGTTTTTGGTTTCTTTTTGAGACCATCAAAGCAGAGGAACATCGATGTTCCCACTGGGAAGGAGATAAGCCTCCATTCAGAAAGGTTTTGTTAATATTCAGTATAAACTCTTGCAGCTTTAATTTTATAAAGAAGGCAGTTTCTGTAATCTTGAAACTGAGCCAAAAATTACTGCCTGGGTTGTAACTGGATCTTAAAGCAACTCTTCAGGGAAGAATGAGGCTATTGTCTTTAAAACGTGTGTAGGTATAATGAGTTATGACGGTTACTGTGTATTGGCTTTGCACTGTGAAGTCTCGTTTTGGGGGTGGGATTTGTATTGATTTCCCTCTTGCCCTCCCTGTTTCATCAGTTTGTTGGAGTCTGCCTGATTCTGGGCTGTTCTTCAAGAACACAAAGAGCCCTAAGGCTGCATTAGGCAGCTGGGGGAAGGTTCACTCTGTTGAAGGGAGTCCCTGCTTACTATTTTGCCAGCACAGCATTGTACTTCATATTGTTCCTTGGCCTCCACTCAAATTTTGTGGTGGGTTTGGCTTTCTGCTTCAGCGATTTCTGGTTATGTTTATTGTGTGGATATCTTTGAAGCTAGAAGTAACAATATATAGGTTGGAGCGGTCTTTGGGTTGCTCTAACTCACTCTGAGGAATTGCATTTGTGAATCTGGTCACAATAAGTCACAATTTGTCAGCAGTTTAGGATGGAATTCAGAAATTTAAGATCTGTTTGGATATTGTCAAATTGATGCACCTCATATTAAGCCTAAAGCCTTCATAATACATATGAATGTCGTAAAATATCGGTGATGTGGGAGATACAGAGACAATAGAGTCCTTGTTTTGGAGACCTGAACCCTTCCCCCCAGCCCAATGTTTAGTGTTTACAGTAGCAACATCTTTTTTTAAATATTCTCCCCCGTATCTAGCCAGAGGGATGGTCATCATTATAAAGCTACTATATAATGCTTTTTATTCATTCACTTATTTCTTTTAATGTTGTTCCAGATTTGTGGATGTTCTTTTTCTACCAGCTGTCATCGCAACACCAAATTTTATACTGATCCTGTTGAAGCTGTAAAAGATATACCCAATGGGGCAACTATACTTGTTGGTGGTAAATATTTAAATTCTTTATGGATGCAATCACATGTTCTATTAAGGAGCTACTTTTTACCATTTTACCATGTTTCTTTCAATATTAACTAGTTTGAGAATCCATATACTTTTATGGGTATTTTAAACAAGTGATATCCTACTCTGCTAATGAGGGGCAGACTCTTTCAGTGAGAAAATCCCAGTTTGTTTCTTAGGAGAGGGGAAAAAGCCTCAGAAAAATCATTAGTTTTTTTCCCCACTAGTGAAGTGTTAGACTTCACTTTTAGTAGTTTGAATGCAGAAAGTCAACTTGGGCTTTTTCAAGTTAGCATCATTACTTCAGGTGGTGAAGAAATAGAATTTGGTTTGATTATTTTTGTGGTAGCGTTCTTGGTATTCTGTAGCTGCCTAGTTGCTGAGTCTCTGTGACCTTGAACAAATCACCTAACCTGTTTCTGGCTGTAGGAAGTGGAGATAATGCTTATCTACATTACACCAAATGGTTATGTGTAGCATTTCCAGAAGAGTCAAGAAGTTGTGTCATACTGACTTTCACCGTGACTTGAGCTTTTGAATATTCTAGATGATTTCCACAATTTCATGCTGTTCAAGCCACTGAAAGAAAAGTGATCTCTCTATTTGGTAGGTTATAAGTGATTTTTAGTATTGAAGAAGTAATGAAAGTAATGTTGTAAAACATGGGAAACCTCACTGGAGATGGTAATGGGGCAAAATGCCTTCTAGGAAGAATTATTGTATTCTTTATTGTTGCTGGAACAAGAGCAGATCTGAGGCTCACTGGTTGGGAAGGAAATGATAGTAGTTGTAGTGTTGGAGTCTGGTCTAAGACCTAGGTGCCTCAAATGTACGTGGCATGGTATTTCATTTTAGGCATACTGGGTTCTTGCATAGTATGTAGGAGTGTGAGGCACTTCAGCCTGGGTGGAGATCTGGGCCCTTCCAGTTACACATCTTCCTGAGAGCGTTAAGAT